TTTGTTCATTCAAGAATTTCAAGTTTTGTAACGAGCTCTGAGTAGATGGTTTCAGAAATCCGATATATATGCAATTTTCTTTTCATTTGATCTTGCTAACAAACAAAATTGACCTTCAACTTTATATATTAGTTGACTTGTAAAATAACCACATAAACTCATGATTCAAAGCCAAACTAATGTTTTCGAATTGTGATTTACCGCGCTACATCGTGCGGGTATACCACTAATGTGTATATATATATATATATATATATATGTATATTATCTTATTAAGCAAATTTGCTAAATGTTTTAGCACTCTTGAAATCTTAAAAATGTACAAACCCTAAAACCCAAAGTACTAGTTTTTAAAGCTGGGTTTTAAAACCTAAAAAAGTACAAGCACAAAGTACTCCCGGCAACGACTTTTACATCCCTGCAGACCCTCTTTGCCCAAGAAGACGATTCAGGCAATTTCGCTCCCCAAGATGCGATTCATCGCTCTCTATACTCAAATCATCCATGTATTAACCTTCAATCCACCGCTCTCGTTCTCACCCTTCAATCCATTGCTCCATCGTCTTCAATCTTCAACCTTCAATCTTCAACAATCTGCCCAAGACGACGATTACCAATTCTGTTTAGGGTTCTGCCTCCATCGTCGTCTTCTTCAATCTTCAACCTTCCAGGTAATTATGTTCAGTAATCAGTCCCCCATACTTGAACAATCGTCGTCTTCCACTTCCTACACACTTGAGAAGCAACCAAATATTCTTGTAACTTAGAAATATGAAATGTCCGATTGTAACTGAGATTCTTTCAACAGATAAGAAATTAAATCGTCAAAGGATTCCATAAGAGTAACATATCATATTTCCCTTTTCTGCTGTCGTCTTGTTGCTGCAAAGTTCTAGAGTTATTTTTGGATACTTGGATTGTTTGGATTTTAATTGATCAGCTAGCTCATAATTTACCGGCTAATTGCATTTTATAGAGCAACTTTGGTTTTGTTATGCAATTTACAAGTTCCCTGAGATTTCTTTATAGAAAAAATGAAACTAAAAGACTAAGCATGTTATCTATAATCTAAGTCCCTCTTTTAAACTGTCCTGAAAATGTAGGCACAGTACTGTTGTAGTTTTTTCTTAATATTGAGAAAATCTTGAGCCCGTAATTTGTGTTTAGATTGTACTCCATTGGCAAGAATTTATCACAATTGGTTTTCTCTCTTTAGTGTTAAATATATACGCTTCCTGTTTAAAATGAAGACCTATGTATTTCAAAAACATATCATATTTCCCTTTTCTGCTGCCGTATTATTGCTGCAAAGTTCTAGTTCTAGAGTCTGTCTTATATTTTTGGCTCACTTAGTCAGAGGCGAGTAGAGACTTTTGGTTCATTGTTGTAGATTTTGATGGTGAGCAATATGGCAATGATGTACACCTTCTGGTTCATCAAAAGTTTGCATTTTTTCTTCAAATATTTACTAATTAGCTGGATCAAGTTTTGGGGTTTTGATCCATCTGATGTGTTTTATTTTGGTCATTTTGTGTTTTTTGCTTGTTGATTGATTCATGATGGCTCCTGTAAATTGAAGTTCACTGGAACAATGTAGCTTCCCATGCTACAGGCCCTATCTAAGTAATAAAGTTCAACAACAACAAAGAGAATGCCTGTGACCCTGCTTCAAAATTTTCAAAAACAGGCACAAAAGGGGAACAAAGAAAAAAATGAAAGCTATTTGGCAAGTCTGGCTCACAACTCTCTTTTCCCTCTTAAAAATGGAAATAAGACTCCATCTATGTAACTAATGTGAATCTATGGTACTATTAATCTATTATAAAACAGCATGTTGTTAATATTGTTTTTCCTCAGTTGTTACTTGATTCAGCCAGATTGTACATACTTGTTGGGTTTCATCATTCAATACTGTAATTTTTAGTATATTATGTTTCTACACTTGAGATCAAGCCATGGCTCACTAGAGTTCCAAAGACATCAAGATTAAAGCACCCTTATTGTTGGTTCTTTTTTGTATTTTTTGTCCTTAGATTTTTGTCCCTCTTTTAAATTGTCCTGGAAATGTAGGCACAATACTGTTGTAGGTTTTTCTTAATATTGAGAAAATCTTGAGCCCGTAATTTTTAATAGATTGTACTCCATTGGCAATAATTTATCACTATTGGTTTTCTCTCTTTAGTGTTAAATATATACGCTGCCTGTTTAAAATGAAGACCTATATATTTAAAAAACATATCATATTTCCCTTTTCTTCTTTTTTGTCCTTAGTTTTTAGGTCTTGGACTCTTTTTTGGAGTTGCGTGCAATGTGTTGTATGATTGGGTTATTAGTAATGCATTATGTGTTCTCAAATTGTTTTGTAGGTCTGAGCATATAATCCTAATCAATCCATCGCTTCCATTGTCATCTTCCTTCAAGCTTCAATCAAGGTTCTAGGTAATTATTTCTATACTACCTGTTGTAGAAGCAATAGATTTTTTTTAATAGATATGTAGTTGAGTTATGTGCTTCATAGAGTCCTGTCAAACGCATAAGAAGTGTATTTTTACCTGACTAATTTCCGTAATATTTCTACCATTACGCCCAACAACAATCCCTATATGTGTATGGTTGCCAAGGTGTGTATGGTTGTTTGCTTATTTTTGTTTTTATTTTATGATTCATATTATCTTAAAAGGATCCTGATTTAACCTAGCATGGCAAGGGTACTTTGTACATATATTTTGTTAAAATGTTGAGATGTTCCCTAGATTGCTTTTTGATTCTTGATATTTTTGCATTTGAAAACATCTTGATCCTTAGGACTATGAATGATGCTGAAATTATTTGATAAGTATCTTGTTACAATGGGTTTGTTCTACTTGAATCTTTTGGTTTTCTCACCAACAGATTACTTTTATGTTTCTTAGACATGTAATCTGTTTTTAGAAGGGTGCTTTTGCGGACTGTAAGGAAGACTGGTTGAGACCCAAAAAACTGAGATGTAAAGACATCAATCTTTTATGATCCAGCTTATATACATGTACCTCTAAGCCATTTACATAATCCAGCTTATACCTATGTACCTCTTAGCATTAAAAGTCGTTAGTACAAGGAGTACTATAATAAGTTCAGATTTTTAGTATTCAACTTATTAGCATTTTAAAGTTCCACTTAGAAATCTTCAAAAAATAAAAGAATGTATGTTGGTTCTGTTCTTATGAGAAACTCTCATTAATGGTTGCTGGTCCTCCACTGTTTCCTTGATTTATGGCTGCATCAATCTGTATTTCCAAGACCTGAGTGTACTTGAACTTGATGCTTTTGTAGGGTGGAGATTCTAGCATTAAGAGGGTAAAGGTTGAGCAAGAGGTAGAATCACATGCTATTGGTGGACCACAATCAGTAGATCAGAGAACTGATGATGTAGAGCAGCATATGGATGCTATATTCAAAATCTTCACAAAGATCAGTTCTATGGTGCAAAATTCCAACTCTTTTTCTTTGAAATATATTTGTTTTATGTTAAAGTTCATTATAGCTGGTTCAACAAGCTCTAACCTTTCATGTTTAATTAGTTTTTTATAGAACCACGTAAGATTACGGGTAAAATTCCATGCTTTTACGTAACTTACCGGGTAAGATTTTAATCTATTAAAATGATATCATATGCAACATTTTTTTTTAGTAAGGGGACGTTTACCAAACGCTTATCTGGGTAAGTGCTTACCAAGTAACATTACCTCACTGTGTGAATATGGTAAAGACCAAGTATCTTACCCGGTAAGAGCGAGACAAGGACCAAGAGTCTTATCCGGTAAGTGATGCGATAACTCTTACCACGGTAAGCGCTTACCGGGTAAATTGTTGCATACGATGTCGTTTTGGTGAATTGAAATCTTACCCGGTAAGTAAATAATAATGTTAAATTTTACCGGTAAGCACTTACCGGGTAAGTGTTTGGTAAACGGCCCCTAAGTGTTTACATGGTAAAAGTCATTGCTTTCACTTATGGGTAAGACTCTCGATCCTTCTCATCACTCTTACCGGGTAAGTTTTTTAATCCTTGTTATGTTCATCCGATCAAGTAAAGTGACCTGGTAAGCATGTACTAGGTAAGTGATTAGTAAACGGCTCCATGGACCACATGATTTGCTTTAACAACTGATCGTGTGTAATGTGATTTCTACTTGTCTATAACCACAAATTTTTAATAAGTTTCAAGTTTATCATAGACACTATGGGTTTGTTTACTAAATGCTTATTGGATATGCCTACGACTAAGAATCTTACCTGGTTAGAAGCAATGCAATGATCGATAATCTTACGCGGTAATTGAGAAAAAATGTTGACTCTTAACGGTAAGTACTTACCGGGTAAGCATCTTGTAAACGGCCCCTTACTGTTAAAAATATTTTCAAGTTTATGATGGACACTATGGGTTTGTTTACTAAATGCTTATTGGATATGCCTAGGACTAAGAATCTTACCTAGTTAGAAGCAATGCAATGATCGAAAATCTTATGCGGTAATTGAGGGAAAATGTTGACTCTTAAAGGTAAGTACTTACCGGGTAAGCATCTGATAAAGTGTAATAACCCAAAAGAAGAAAAAAGAAAAAGAAAAAAGAAAATGATTGCTAGATAATAAATTATAGAGATTGGTTATGTAAATGTAGGGAAAGTGAATGGTTTATAACTAACATTGATGGTAATTCAATGTCATGCTAACCAATGGGCTTGAAACCCCCAAGACTTATCGTTTCCTTTTCCATAACTACCGATAGCTTAGCATAAAAAGGGGATTTTCTAACCTTATATGAATTTTGGTCGATAAGGAGAACTATTACGGACAAAGGCAACGGTAGACACTGAAACAAAAGTCGACGGTATTGTACATCGCAGCTAATTCGACGCCAATCGGTAAGTGTTTCATACCCATTGTCGAAATTATGTTTACTAGATAATCATTCTAGTCGCTCGATCGTTCAGGTGGGTTCCTGAAGGGGCAACGGTGGCCAACGGTCACCGAAAGCACCCCCACTGTTCTTCACAACGGTAATCACGGTGAGATCGGGTTGATAAACGGTGACCCTCGTGTCGGTTTTAGGAGATAGAACTTATGTTTAGTGTGTGTAAGTCGATATACTTATATAATGGATGGACGACGTTTCGTTGCTACGATGAATTGAAGGGTTAAAAAACTCGTTATGATGAGAGATTTATCGAGTCTCATTAATTCTATGTGTTGATTCACCGGAGTTTAACAAATTAGGACACAAGTACTGCTCGTCGGAAACTGCTTGGGATTATTTGCAGAAGTGACACACACACACACATATATATATATATATATATATATATATATATACATAAATCAAATTGTAAACAAATAGCTAAGCATGGGTTATAAAAATAAAAATAAAAAAATAAATAAAAGGTGTCAAGAGTACTAGTCGATCATCTCTAAGGAAAGTCGTATGTTACAATCAGCATTATGGTCTTTGATCTGTAGGGAGACACTAACCACTTAAAAGAGCGCTTGAGACAATAACTACTACGGTGAGTTATACGTGACTTTCCTAAAAATGGTTGCACATTTTATTTACAATTATATGCAAGGTTGCTGGAATTTTTCTCGATATATTTGAATATCATTCATGTATGCGTAAATCGTGCCTTATTTTATAAAAAATGTGGTGTGGCAATGTGGGCTGTACTACGGTATGATTCCATAAAGACAAGCATGCTTTGTGAGCTTGTCTAAGTCGTAAGTGCGGATTTGCTGTGTGAGTTCGCCAGGTAATGCTGTGTGAGGTAGTCATCTCCCGTAACGCCACTAGCTTTGTGAAGTGTGTTGTTTAACTATATGCATGATAAATTATGACGCTTTGTGAAATCTATTTTTTACGT